GAAAAAACAAGACAAAAAACAGAGTTCCTCTGCCCTGCATTCACATATGTTGTTCATACGTCCGAAACAATGTAAAATGTATCTGATTTTACTCAGAGGAAACTTTATATTCAGATGTTTGTCTGTGGTTTAAGTACACAGAACATTTAAAGAAATCTGGGTCTGACCATGTCGATGGGCGATTTTCCGAAACATAAAATGAGCCATCAACTGATCTCCATGGCAACTGTTGTTATCACTTGATTCGAAGCCTTTTGGATAACACATCCAGCTTGTAAAATGTTACCATGGAACTGGGGTGGGTTAAAATGAAGCTGATCAGGCAGTATTAGTGCGTCTTCAGTCCTGCAGCGAGACCCTCTCAATTATTCAGTTGTTACATCATCTGCTCTCAAAGTTAAGCCTTTATGTCCATGGAATAAAATAAAGCTGCACTGTAGAATATTTTTCTCCACTTCAGGGCAAGAAAAATTTCAAGGGTTAGGCCAATTGTCTCATAGAAAAAGAAATTTTTCGTTTCGTTTGGTGCAAAAAAATTAGATATTGGTTTGCTCTCCTATACCTTAGTATTTCAGAGGAGCTACTGCGCATTTACAACTTTTTAACGAGAGTCAACGGGCAAAGATTTATGCCCCCTAGGGTGGAAATACCGCTTCTGTCAGTGAGCCCCAGGGCAGCTGTGGCTACAGTGTAGCTTGCCACCATCAGTGTGTGAGTGTTTGTGTGAATGGGTGAATGAATGTAGTGTAAAGCGCCTTTTTTCCAAGTCAGTAGACTTGGAAAAAAGGCGCTATATAAGTACATGCCACTTACCATTTACCAAATACGTCACCAATCCGACGAAAAATGAAGTGACGCTTTACTCCTCATTAAAGATTAAATATTTATCTTGTACATCTAAAAGTATATATCAATATATTTTGAAATATTTTACATATTAATCTAAAATCAAATTAGAAAAAAGTATATATTAAAAGTAGGGCTGTCAGTTTTAAAGCGTTATTAACGCGTTAACTGCTTTAGACTATAACGCCGACATTTTTTTTAACGCACGTTAATCGCGCATCAAAACAAACGCACCGTTCGCTTGTAATCTTTATTTTTTCCGCAGCGCTCTCTGTACTGTTTGTTTTACCCTCGGCTCTTTCCGTAGCTTCAGGAATGCTAAGTTTGCGGGAGAGTCCGCAGCGTAACAGACCCGTGCTTTGAATGGGCAAAAATGGCCAGCAGACGAGGTATCCTGAATGATACGTTTTTTTTTTAAAGTTATGCCAGAAGGCTCTCTTGGCAAAACCCGAGTCGTCTGTGTGTGTTTTCCAGAAGAAACGAGCGTCTCACTGGCTTAGTGCCACCAAGACAAAGAAATGAACTAAGTCATGTGGAAGGCGCTGCTGCTGCAATTCCTGTTCAGACCAAAGGAATATTAAAGCATTTTCAAAATGTTCCACATGTAGAAT